ATTCACACTAATCCCAATTCACATTCCAGTAATACAAATACAGTTTATAGCAGTTGCAAACGAGGATACGATTTCTATAAAGTTCATACATAAGGGATATGGTTGGTTTTCGTCGTGTACACATGTGCAAATCGCAAAGCATTGAAGACCGGGTCGAGAGTTCGGGAGCGTTCGACCCGGTGTACACACTTCTGATAATTAGACGAATTACACATGGTTAACGATCAAACATTCAACACTGGAAAATTCAAAGATGTGGACGACTTCGTTAAAATGTGAGTGGATATTTACCTTGGTTTCTTTCGGATATCGGACCAGCCGCCATTTTCAAACAACGCTGACGCCGATGTTAGTCTCGCTTTCGAATGTGGATTCGGATTCGTTTGTACGTTCGTGTGACTGAATGAAATTCTATGTTTATCGGCTTTCCTTTGCTAGTATATGTAAAAAGAATAGTACAAATATGCCATCACATCGGTATTCGCCGTTGGTAGAATTATACATGTAAATACGTTATTGTGGGGGGGAAATCGAATCACTGTGAATCTATACCGAACTGGAACACAAAAGCACTAACCTAGAGGGACCTAATACGCGTGGTGTACGTTTTTTATTTGAGACCTCCTAACCTAATGAGTTTTGAATTAAATGTGAATGAGCTGCGTACTAGTATTTTACACGCGTTGTATACGTATACGTCACTATGAGTCCCATATCGAACAGGACGCGACACGACGTCTGCCGCCCTTTAAGAAACAAAGACAACTAACTATATGTTTCAATGTAAAGAGTCAAACACTGACTAACAATGTCAAAATGTATTATCAAAGTACGTGTGAAAGGACTAATTTCACAATCAAAATACTAGTAGTTTAGTCTAATGTTGCTATTTTTATTATACATTTTTACTTAATACATTACTAATGTTTTCAATATTTCAACTTCATTGATGTTCATAAAAAATTGTAATATTTTCTTTACGGTGTCAATAAAGTACTATTCTACATCATAACAGAATGCGAGCTTACACATCTGTCTGTGGTAAGAAAAAGAAGTTTTTTTCGTTTATACATTTTGTCACGACAATGTTCATTGCAAAGTTTTTATTGTCATATGTTATTTCACAAGTTCATAAGATGTGTTCGTTGCTCGGGTATAATATTTAATCAAGACATTTGTCGTTTGATAAATACATCTATTGAAAATTGAGTCAATTCTCCGTATATTCCAATTATAGGAATGTTTTTCTCACACTTGGATGAATCGTAAAAAGTGTAGTTGAACACGTCAGACTTGCAAGAACCGTCGTCTCCCCAAATATCACTGTCGTATACTAGTAATGTTGTAATTAATTTATTAAAGAGGGACGACATTGTAGATTAGATTTATTGCAAAACTTTACATCGCTTTATGTTCCCTTCAAATAGCATTCTTGAATTTGCAATATCACACGGCCTCCGCCTGTTTTCTCCGCAATGTTTAATTTGCACAAGTCTCAAAAAACACCAAACAATATATGGGCCAATACATTGGATCCGACAAGTTCTGAACAATAGTTTACATGTACAAATGTATTTTATAATATTAAGAGATCTTGCCTTTCTCTGTGACAGATCTAAAAACACTATTAGTCTTATGACACATGTAATGTTTTTTGCAATAGGGCAACTACAGAAATATCTGTTCCCGCGGTTCGATTGTATAGAGGGAAATCACGGTCTTCAATGTTACGGTGACAGTAATTGATGAGATGGGTGGGGCATTCAGATATGGAATAGCGGGAAGCAGTAGGAAGTTAGTCAGTCTAGTCAGCAACAACAGCAAAAGTATAGGGTTTGGGTTTGTACCTCTGGTTTGTCCTGGGTGGCGGACATAGGATAACAAGGATATCGCAAATAGTAACAGCCCACCCTGGTAGAACGTGCAATGTAACATTTTTTTTCTGTCCACGTCTGTAAAAAAAGCTGACTCATTTCATACATCATTATTATTATTGAATGAATGAAGTGTAATAGAATTTATTTAATGGAATGAGAGTATAGTGAAGACCAGCGATAAATCACGGTTAAGACGGGCGCATAGTACGTTCCCAGAGGACGTTGTATTCCTTGCAAAACCTTTGAAGTTGTTCAGAATTAGTCAAAAAGAATGGCTAATTAGCATAAAGTATTTGTTATCTTGCTGATAGTTTGTATCTCAAACCACTAAATTAGCAACTTCGAAACTACATTCGATCAATCATGATGACAAGAGAAGATCGATGTGAGTTACGCCCTCACCAACAATTAGACGTATTGCGCAGTGAACCCGTCGGCGAGGGCGCAATCACAAACACGCATATCCAAACCATGTATCCAAACATAGACCCTAAAAATCATCAATCATCCAAACTTGTGACTGCAACCCCGAAGTCAGTGTGAATGAAAAGGATAGGACAGTTTGGTACAAGCATATGTGATTGTGGGAATAGGTGGACAATATTGTTTTTTAGATCAATATTGGCCAATATAAACCCTGGGAGGGGAGATGATTTTCTTTTTAAATTTTCTCCTTTCATTTTTTTTATAATCTATACCCCATAGTTTATAGTGGTAAAAACTGTTATTGAAACACTAGTCTGAAATTATGCAGTGATGGATGTAAGGGACAATTATAACTTAATCATGACATTGCAAATATTACCCATATAGTTACTATTATAGTTAACTAGAGTGACATCTTGGTCAATCGCAATAAAAACATGCATAGTTTAAATTCAATTTGAAATAATTAAACAATAAATGTGAAGTAACTCATCAGTTGTTATTAAAGTGGTTTCCATTTCTGAAAATTAGCTACAAGTACAAGTCGAACTGACAACATCATAATTGAACACACAGGTTTAATTTTAAAAAAAATATAAAAATAAAGTATGTCCACCTTCTAAAAGCAATTCTATGTCTCTACAGGCTGGGCTACTCAAAGGCTCTCGTTCAGGAAACTGTGAGGGCGCCAGTCATATGAAAAGTGTTTATTGTCAGCAAATACTATGACCCTGATGTACGGGTAAATTATAAGCCCCTCATTAAAACTAAATTCTAAATAATCAGTTTTTTCCTTGTGTCACTGACTTCAGTTTTCAACAGAAACTGAGTTTACTAAATAGCAACTGTATGTATTTTGCATCAGGTGTAGAACAGCTGGTGTCATAATTGTTGAACTTCCTGACCCATGTAAAACCTACTATTACAACTTTTAATATCAGTTCACACCAATTAGTTTGAAGCAGTCAGGTTATGTCATCATGATCTGTCCTCTCCAGAAACAGACTTCAGAGGCCAGTGGAAGATTGGTTCCAGTGATCAATACTAAAACATATGGTCCCCAGTGCACCCCCACATATGGACATTTATGGGACTTACAATCAGCTGTCCAACACACTAAAATCTTCACTGTAAAGAAATAAATCCAATAAATTTGATTTTTGATGCATGTTCCCGACAATACAACTATGTTCACCTTCATAAAAGGTGCATAACCAATCTTTTGCATGTTCTTGAAATCCAAAATCTGCTAAAAATAATAGAACTTGAAAAATATATTGTTCAGCTTCCTGTGCATTGGTTACTTGCCTTCCCAACTCAATTTTCACCAATGGTTTGAGACTACTTTTTAAATATTTATCTCAGTTTTATACTCAATATTTCATAGATATTGTCCAGTTCTTTACAAATTTTATCTGTGTTTGGTTTAGAAAACCATGTGAGAACTCCCATGCTTAGCAGACATTTTATTTTAAAGGGCGGTGGTCGTCACGCAGTGCCTGTTCAGGTTTCATGTAAACAAACAATGTATTTTACGCAAGTTGTATACATCGATATATCGAACAGAACAAGCACAACCACTCTTTAAGATATCGGAGAAACACTAGTTTTTGAACAGGTTCTCTTGCACTGAATGCTTTGCTGCTGTTCAAGACAATCATTAGGTCAAAGTTGTTACATGTTGCCATGGACTGTGATGTAGTCATGTGACTCTGATTCAACCAATGAGTGCTCAAAAGTGTGACAATTTTTATACCTGGATAGTGGCAAAATCTATACCCATATTTATACCACAGGGAGCCCAGGAACTATGATCAACTGTACGTACTCCTTATGAGCGGGGGGGTGGGGGGTGGGTATCGGCCGGTA